CTGCTCTCAGAGAGACTGTTTACTTTAGCCGCATTCATTGTGAAACTTGCTAATTAGCACATTATTAGTAAAGGCAATTTGCAAAGATTCATTACAAAACATTATACTCACTTCTGGAGGTGAGGCTGGATCACGAATGATTTCGCGTGAACAGACACATTTAGGCAGATCGGGGAGCATTCCCTTCAGAAACAAACGAAATCCACTGCATACTTTCCAGTCCACATCCTTCTCATTCCCAGTAAAAAAGACACGTAAAACAGCAGCCAAGCGACGAAGATCAGCGTCCTCATCTGCGGAAGACACATAGCGACAGACAGTGTGACTGCAACGAGCGATACCAGGCGGATTGATAACTTACTAGTCAAGAAATATGATCCCCGGACCCCAATTACAACACGCTAACAAACAAACTAACTAACCTGAAGGCGTGGTGCTGTTTACACGCACACATCGTTGTTATGCATAATCTGAACGGCAAACACATTTGGCACAAATCAGCTGAGTCCCTTCCAAAAAAGTTCACTTCCTGACTGTGTTACATTTAAAAGAGGCCGACAAAACACGTCACCGCTCATATCCGATGTTACCGCCAGGCGGCGCATGTTAGGGGCCCCGTAGGGGAGAAATAAATGGGAACATGTACAGGATATAAAATTCAGCATTTTATTGCATCTGCATAAATGCATATATTTCATGTTTTTTGATTGTTTTATATGCGCTCTAATGTTTGCAACATTAAAACAGCATATGGCCGATTTATAAGCCTTTTAAACTAATTATTGAGGAACTGTCCTCACAGTTTCATGGTATTTTACTGTATTACATGTACATTTATTTAATAGTGAGTATACTCACACACATATAGACACACATTTCTGCTAGTGTTCGATACTTTGACTCAATTTCATTCCTGTTACTAAATAGTTTTTTTCCTAAAAATTTTTTAAAAAAATGCAACGTTAATATCACATTTTTTTTTTAATTATATTTGGTCCATCATGTATCCTACTGTTTAAAAAAATTACATTGTATTTAAAAATTCCAAAAAAGTTCACTTCCTGACTGTGTTACATTTAAAAGAGGCCGACAAAACACGTCACCGCTCATATCCGATGTTACCGCCAGGCGGCGCATGTTAGGGGCCCCGTAGGGGAGAAATAAATGGGAACATGTACAGGATATAAAATTCAGCATTTTATTGCATCTGCATAAATGCATATATTTCATGTTTTTTGATTGTTTTATATGCGCTCTAATGTTTGCAACATTAAAACAGCATATGGCCGATTTATAAGCCTTTTAAACTAATTATTGAGGAACTGTCCTCACAGTTTCATGGTATTTTACTGTATTACATGTACATTTATTTAATAGTGAGTATACTCACACACATATAGACACACATTTCTGCTAGTGTTCGATACTTTGACTCAATTTCATTCCTGTTACTAAATAGTTTTTTTCCTAAAAAATTTTTTAAAAAATGCAACGTTAATATCACATTTTTTTTTTATTATATTTGGTCCATCGTGTATCCTACTGTTTAAAAAAATTACATTGTATTTAAAAATGGCTTTGTGTTGTTGTTGTTTTTTTTGTTGTTGTTGTTTTTTTAGAAAAGTAGTACACATTGCATGCATAAATGATGATTTTCTCGATGATTTTTTGTCACAAATATCAATCATTTGAACATGTAACCAACCATTTCTTAAAAACAAACACATTCTTGAGGGGTAAAAGCAAAGGAATTAGTTGACATGTTTTTAAACATGTTTTTTAAAAGATGAATTAACTGATAAAAATGCATCCAGATAGATAGATAGATAGATAGATAGACAGATGACAGATAGATAGATGACAGATAGATAGACAGATAGATAGATAGATAGATAGATAGAGATAGATAGATAGATAGATAGATAGA